ACACACAATAATAACACACAACCAGACACACACAACACTAACACACCTTCTGCAACCAGACACACAATAATAACACACAACCAGACACACACAACACTAACACACCTTCTGCAACCAGACACACAATACTTCCATGCTAACACAGACTGTATACAGATGCTAATGCTAACACAGACTGTATACAGATGCTAATGCTAACACAGACTGTATACAGATGCTAATGCTAACACAGACTGTATACAGATGCTAATGCTAACACAGACTGTATACAGATGCTAATGCTAACACAGACTGTATACAGATGCTAATGCTAACACAGACTGTATACAGATGCTAATGCTAACACAGACTGTATACAGATGCTAATGCTAACACAGACTGTATACAGATGCTAATGCTAACACAGACTGTATACAGATGCTAATGCTAACACAGACTGTATACAGATGCTAATGCTAACACTCACCGCGATCTCGTCAAACTTCCCGAACTCCAGCGTGCCGTAGCGGTCGATGGGAGGCCGGATGTACTCGCAGTAGTCGCTGTCTCGCACCAGCTCCAGTTGTCGCACGCAGCAGACGTAGGCCAGACGGGTTTGGATCTCTGCCATGTTCAGCACCTGTACAGAGGCCAGACGGGTTTGGATCTCCGCCATGTTCAGCACCTGTACAGAGGCCAGACGGGTTTGGATCTCTGCCATGTTCAGCACCTGTACAGAGGCCAGACGGGTTTGGATCTCTGCCATGTTCAGCACCTGTACAGAGGCCAGACGGGTTTGGATCTCTGCCATGTTCAGCACCTGTACAGAGGCCAGACGGGTTTGGATCTCTGCCATGTTCAGCACCTGTACAGAGGCCAGACGGGTTTGGATCTCTGCCATGTTCAGCACCTGTACAGAGGCCAGACGGGTTTGGATCTCTGCCATGTTCAGCACCTGTACAGAGGCCAGACGGGTTTGGATCTCTGCCATGTTCAGCACCTGTACAGAGGCCAGACGGGTTTGGATCTCTGCCATGTTCAGCACCTGTACAGAGGCCAGACGGGTTTGGATCTCTGCCATGTTCAGCACCTGTACAGAGGCCAGACGGGTTTGGATCTCTGCCATGTTCAGCACCTGTACAGAGGCCAGACGGGTTTGGATCTCTGCCATGTTCAGCACCTGTACAGAGGCCAGACGGGTTTGGATCTCTGCCATGTTCAGCACCTGTACAGAGGCCAGACGGGTTTGGATCTCCGCCATGTTCAGCACCTGTACAGAGGCCAGACGGGTTTGGATCTCTGCCATGTTCAGCACCTGTACAGAGGCCAGACGGGTTTGGATCTCTGCCATGTTCAGCACCTGTACAGAGGCCAGACGGGTTTGGATCTCCGCCATGTTCAGCACCTGTACAGAGGCCAGACGGGTTTGGATCTCTGCCATGTTCAGCACCTGTACAGAGGCCAGACGGGTTTGGATCTCTGCCATGTTCAGCACCTGTACAGAGGCCAGACGGGTTTGGATCTCTGCCATGTTCAGCACCTGTACAGAGGCCAGACGGGTTTGGATCTCTGCCATGTTCAGCACCTGTACAGAGGCCAGACGGGTTTGGATCTCTGCCATGTTCAGCACCTGTACAGAGGCCAGACGGGTTTGGATCTCTGCCATGTTCAGCACCTGTACAGAGGCCAGACGGGTTTGGATCTCTGCCATGTTCAGCACCTGTACAGAGGCCAGACGGGTTTGGATCTCTGCCATGTTCAGCACCTGTACAGAGGCCAGACGGGTTTGGATCTCTGCCATGTTCAGCACCTGTACAGAGGCCAGACGGGTTTGGATCTCTGCCATGTTCAGCACCTGTACAGAGGCCAGACGGGTTTGGATCTCCGCCATGTTCAGCACCTGTACAGAGGCCAGACGGGTTTGGATCTCTGCCATGTTCAGCACCTGTACAGAGGCCAGACGGGTTTGGATCTCCGCCATGTTCAGCACCTGTACAGAGGCCAGACGGGTTTGGATCTCTGCCATGTTCAGCACCTGTACAGAGGCCAGACGGGTTTGGATCTCCGCCATGTTCAGCACCTGTACAGAGGCCAGACGGGTTTGGATCTCTGCCATGTTCAGCACCTGTACAGAGGCCAGACGGGTTTGGATCTCTGCCATGTTCAGCACCTGTACAGAGGCCAGACGGGTTTGGATCTCTGCCATGTTCAGCACCTGTACAGAGGCCAGACGGGTTTGGATCTCTGCCATGTTCAGCACCTGTACAGAGGCCAGACGGGTTTGGATCTCCGCCATGTTCAGCACCTGTACAGAGGCCAGACGGGTTTGGATCTCTGCCATGTTCAGCACCTGTACAGAGGCCAGACGGGTTTGGATCTCCGCCATGTTCAGCACCTGTACAGAGGCCAGACGGGTTTGGATCTCTGCCATGTTCAGCACCTGTACAGAGGCCAGACGGGTTTGGATCTCTGCCATGTTCAGCACCTGTACAGAGGCCAGACGGGTTTGGATCTCTGCCATGTTCAGCACCTGTACAGAGGCCAGACGGGTTTGGATCTCTGCCATGTTCAGCACCTGTACAGAGGCCAGACGGGTTTGGATCTCTGCCATGTTCAGCACCTGTACAGAGGCCAGACGGGTTTGGATCTCTGCCATGTTCAGCACCTGTACAGAGGCCAGACGGGTTTGGATCTCTGCCATGTTCAGCACCTGTACAGAGGCCAGACGGGTTTGGATCTCTGCCATGTTCAGCACCTGTACAGAGGCCAGACGGGTTTGGATCTCTGCCATGTTCAGCACCTGTACAGAGGCCAGACGGGTTTGGATCTCCGCCATGTTCAGCACCTGTACAGAGGCCAGACGGGTTTGGATCTCCGCCATGTTCAGCACCTGTACAGAGGCCAGACGGGTTTGGATCTCTGCCATGTTCAGCACCTGTACAGAGGCCAGACGGGTTTGGATCTCCGCCATGTTCAGCACCTGTACAGAGGCCAGACGGGTTTGGATCTCCGCCATGTTCAGCACCTGTACAGAGGCCAGACGGGTTTGGATCTCCGCCATGTTCAGCACCTGTACAGAGGCCAGACGGGTTTGGATCTCTGCCATGTTCAGCACCTGTACAGAGGCCAGACGGGTTTGGATCTCCGCCATGTTCAGCACCTGTACAGAGGCCAGACGGGTTTGGATCTCCGCCATGTTCAGCACCTGTACAGAGGCCAGACGGGTTTGGATCTCCGCCATGTTCAGCACCTGTACAGAGGCCAGACGGGTTTGGATCTCTGCCATGTTCAGCACCTGTACAGAGGCCAGACGGGTTTGGATCTCTGCCATGTTCAGCACCTGTACAGAGGCCAGACGGGTTTGGATCTCTGCCATGTTCAGCACCTGTACAGAGGCCAGACGGGTTTGGATCTCCGCCATGTTCAGCACCTGTACAGAGGCCAGACGGGTTTGGATCTCTGCCATGTTCAGCACCTGTACAGAGGCCAGACGGGTTTGGATCTCCGCCATGTTCAGCACCTGTACAGAGGCCAGACGGGTTTGGATCTCTGCCATGTTCAGCACCTGTACAGAGGCCAGACGGGTTTGGATCTCTGCCATGTTCAGCACCTGTACAGAGGCCAGACGGGTTTGGATCTCTGCCATGTTCAGCACCTGTACAGAGGCCAGACGGGTTTGGATCTCTGCCATGTTCAGCACCTGTACAGAGGCCAGACGGGTTTGGATCTCTGCCATGTTCAGCACCTGTACAGAGGCCAGACGGGTTTGGATCTCTGCCATGTTCAGCACCTGTACAGAGGCCAGACGGGTTTGGATCTCTGCCATGTTCAGCACCTGTACAGAGGCCAGACCAGTGGCGGCCGGCCAATAGAGGGCGCTAGGGCGCCGCCCCACCACTCACAACTTGCCATGTTACCTTGAATAAAACGTTAAAAAAAATAATAACATTAAAATATTTCGAAATTTATGTGTGTTTTATTTCAGATGTGGAAGAAATACTTTATAGTTTATGCTGAGTTGGATTGATTAAGCTCATCAGCGTTGTCTGTGTCGGACTGAGGACGTATTTCCGCCGTCTATGGACTCTCGTTAAAAGTTGTACATGCGCAGTAGCTCCTCTTCAATGCAAGAGATAAGACGATTTGGGGGCGCAGGAGAAGTGCGCCCTGAGGGGGCGGGATCGCCCGCGACCTGTACTGTCACTGTCTGTGACGTCCGTTTACAGTGATTGACAGGTCAAGCTGTGGGAGTTTGAGACGAACGTAAAGAGACGCAAAATGGAGAACGAGAAAAAGAATAATTCAGTTAGATCACTCAAAACAATACCGTTTGAGAGAAGATCATACCAGGAGAAGGTTGAGGTTAAAGAGCTTGGACCTGATCAGCCAAATATTACCATTAGTCAGCAGTCCAGGACCTGGTTCAGCGCCAAATCTTGGCTAGCAGCATGTAGCGAGGCTAATGCTTTATTTTGCTTTCCATGCCTCTTGTTTCAAACATCAGGATCTGACCCAGCATGGATCAAGACAGGTATGACTGATCTGAAGCACTTTTTAGAAAAGGCAAAGAAGCATGAGCAGACTGGTATCCACATGCAAAATGCCCTCAAATTAGCTATGTTTGGGAAGATAAATATTTCATCCCAGCTGGATGAAAGCTACAGGGTAGGGATCAGAAAGCACAATGAGGAGGTTGACAAGAATAGGCACATCCTATCAAAAATAATAGACTGTGTCAAATTCTGTGGTGCATTTATATCTAGTCATCATATTCATAGCCCCCCCAGTAGAAAATTCCACCAGCCGCCACTGGGCCAGACGGGTTTGGATCTCTGCCATGTTCAGCACCTGTACAGAGGCCAGACGGGTTTGGATCTCCGCCATGTTCAGCACCTGTACAGAGGCCAGACGGGTTTGGATCTCCGCCATGTTCAGCACCTGTACAGAGGCCAGACGGGTTTGGATCTCTGCCATGTTCAGCACCTGTACAGAGGCCAGACGGGTTTGGATCTCCGCCATGTTCAGCACCTGTACAGAGGCCAGACGGGTTTGGATCTCCGCCATGTTCAGCACCTGTACAGAGGCCAGACGGGTTTGGATCTCTGCCATGTTCAGCACCTGTACAGAGGCCAGACGGGTTTGGATCTCTGCCATGTTCAGCACCTGTACAGAGGCCAGACGGGTTTGGATCTCTGCCATGTTCAGCACCTGTACAGAGGCCAGACGGGTTTGGATCTCTGCCATGTTCAGCACCTGTACAGAGGCCAGACGGGTTTGGATCTCCGCCATGTTCAGCACCTGTACAGAGGCCAGACGGGTTTGGATCTCCGCCATGTTCAGCACCTGTACAGAGGCCAGACGGGTTTGGATCTCTGCCATGTTCAGCACCTGTACAGAGGCCAGACGGGTTTGGATCTCTGCCATGTTCAGCACCTGTACAGAGGCCAGACGGGTTTGGATCTCTGCCATGTTCAGCACCTGTACAGAGGCCAGACGGGTTTGGATCTCCGCCATGTTCAGCACCTGTACAGAGGCCAGACGGGTTTGGATCTCTGCCATGTTCAGCACCTGTACAGAGGCCAGACGGGTTTGGATCTCCGCCATGTTCAGCACCTGTACAGAGGCCAGACGGGTTTGGATCTCCGCCATGTTCAGCACCTGTACAGAGGCCAGACGGGTTTGGATCTCTGCCATGTTCAGCACCTATACAGAGGCCAGACGGGTTTGGATCTCTGCCATGTTCAGCACCTGTACAGAGGCCAGACGGGTTTGGATCTCTGCCATGTTCAGCACCTGTACAGAGGCCAGACACTGTACAGGTGCACAGACTGAAGTACACTGGTGCAGACTGAAGTACACTGGTGCAGACTGAAGTACACTGGTGCAGACTGAAGTACACTGGTGCACAGACTGAAGTACACTGGTGCAGACTGAAGTACACTGGTGCACAGACTGAAGTACACTGGTGCAGACTGAAGTACACTGGTGCAGACTGAAGTACACTGGTGCTACTGAAGTACACTGGTGCTACTGAAGTACACTGGTGCAGACTGCAGTACACTGGTACAGACTGAAGTACACTGGTGCAGACTGAAGTACACTGGTGCAGACTGAAGTACACTGGTACAGACTGAAGTACACTGGTGCTACTGAAGTACACTGGTGCAGACTGAAGTACACTGGTGCAGACTGAAGTACACTGGTGCTACTGAAGTACACTGGTGCAGACTGAAGTACACTGGTGCAGACTGAAGTACACTGGTGCAGACTGAAGTACACTGGTACAGACTGAAGTACACTGGTGCAGACTGAAGTACACTGGTACAGACTGAAGTACACTGGTGCAGACTGAAGTACACTGGTGCAGACTGAAGTACACTGGTGCAGACTGAAGTACACTGGTGCAGACTGAAGTACACTGGTGCAGACTGAAGTACACTGGTGCAGACTGAAGTACACTGGTGCAGACTGAAGTACACTGGTGCAGACTGAAGTACACTGGTGCAGACTGAAGTACACTGGTGCAGACTGAAGTACACTGGTGCAGACTGAAGTACACTGGTGCAGACTGAAGTACACTGGTGCTACTGAAGTACACTGGTGCAGACTGAAGTACACTGGTGCAGACTGAAGTACACTGGTGCAGACTGAAGTACACTGGTGCAGACTGAAGTACACTGGTGCAGACTGAAGTACACTGGTGCAGACTGAAGTACACTGGTGCAGACTGAAGTACACTGGTGCAGACTGAAGTACACTGGTGCTACTGAAGTACACTGGTGCAGACACATTGAAACCCTAAACTGTCAGTGTCTTCGAACTGAAACTGGACGCAGCACATGGTCCTGTGTGAACGCCCCTAACACTCTGAACCAATGAGAAGCTGAGGAGCCTATGGAGCCAATGAAACGCTTCGACACATAAACGACAGTCCATGAAACAATGAGGTCACAGTAAAGTGTTTCACAAAGTGTCGGAAAGCTTCACTATGACTTCAGTTATCCAAAAAAAACATTTATTCACAAACACAGTATACTATAACACTGCAAATGTTGGAAATACATCTTTAAATAGTCCCTGGTCTATGAAAAGGGTGGGTGAAGAAGATGACAAAGTCTGGGATCGTGTCTTTAATTCAGACAGAAGACATGTTTTATTGTTGATGATAGACGCACGAACAAAGATGGAGGAATGAACACCGTCCAATCAGCTTTCGCCGCGATGCCAGTAGCTTTGGCCTTCAAGTACTGTCTCCTGCAAATGTACGAATGGTGAGTTTGAACTTTAACCACAGTTGCTTCAAAGTGTCATGAAATATCTAAATGGGTTCTGTCTCGGTTGCCGCGGTGACGATCTCTAGGCTCAGAATGGAATGCCGTGTAGTCGTTGGATTCTGAGACATTCTTTAGATCCTGGTTGCTACGGCTCTAGTTTGTGATGTCACCTTCCGGAACAACAGGACATAACCAACCCAAGTTTAGGTGTCAGAGCACAGCACAGGGGGGAGGCCAGGGTCAGGACTGTCGCTGTAGTCGGGGAGTCCCTGAGGAGAAGAGTCCGAGTCCTCATCATGGATCGCAGGATGCTTCATAATCCATCTGTGAACCCCAGCTCAGGGGGGGAAATCCACTCGGTTTTTGGGAACGCCAACATGGAGATCGTCAGTGGTTTTGAATCTAGTTGTAGGAGTCAAGACTATGATCTTTGCTCCACCTCTGGGGATAGTGGCTGGAAGGAAAGTTTGGGGGGAATATCATTGGATTTAGAGGCTCCAGAGAAGAGGAACAGTGAGTTAGACAGAACCAAGTTGGCGCTAGGGGAGAAGATTAGAAAGTTAAGGGACAAAGAAGAGAATCTGAGTGTAAAGGTTAAAACTCTGCAGATTGATTCAGATGAAAAACAGAAAGAGCTGGACGAGACCATGAGATGGACTCATAGCTTTAGGGTCAGACTGGAAAACTCTTTGAACATGAGGAATGACTTGATCCCAAAGCGCGTCGAGGATTGTGAGGCCTTGGACCTCATGTTGGAAACCTTTATGGGGGAAGCAGAGAGAGAGGATCTGGAAAATCAGATAAAGAGAAAGAACAAAGAACTCCAGATGGTTAAATCTCAGCAACAAGCTTCTCTCCAGCAACACGAGGCCATCATCGACTCCAAAAACAAGGAGATCTGTGACTGGAAACAAAAGTTTGTCCATCTCTCGGTCGAGCGAGAGAAGATGACGGCCTTTCGGAGGAACATCTCAGAGTCCAGAGCTAGATCTGTGGAGGAGCAGCGAGCGCAAATGAACGTCTACGCTCAGACCATCCGCGAGCTCCAGCAACAACTCAACGATTATCAGGACGAGGTTTTACACAAAGACGAACAGAACCACCGCCTGGAGGACGAGGTGGTTCTGCTGAAGGTCGTGAACGCTCGTCTCCACATGAAGAACGCAGAGACAGCTGCCGCACTGCAGAAGGCTCAGAGGGCTTTGGGAGAAGGAGCTGAGGAGGCCCCTGGGTCAGGACTCCTCAGACTGGGCCGGTCTTTGCTGAGGGGCTGCATGTGTGTGGGCGCTCTGGGCCTGGGGCTCATGGGTCTGTCTCACATGGTACAGGAGCTGGCACCAAGCTGTCATCAGGAACCTTCTCTCTACTCTTTCTAAGTAAAGACCGGAGGGATCCTGAAGACCCACTGAAGACCTACTGAAGACCCACTGAAGACCTACTGAAGACCCACTGAAGACCCACTGAAGACCCACTGAAGACCCACTGAAGACCTACTGAAGACCCACTGAAGACCCACTGAAAACGGGAGAAACAGAACAATCAATAAAGCAAATGAAAAAACTTTTCTTCTTGGTGACTCTAGTATCAATCTAGCTCAAAGGAGCTGTGTCAAAGCTACTTTCTTAAATTGTCTTGATTCCAATTCATTCTTTCCCACAATAAATATATAAACAAGAAGGACGGAATCCAGTAAATCCATCATAGACAACATCACAAATGTTCATAATGTTGTTCTGTTTGATATTTCAGATCACTTTCCCATTGTGCTTTTCACAGATCTGGGAAAACAAACAAAACTGTCCTTAAAGGACACCTCAGCCTCAAATCCACTTTGTCAGCGAAGGCTGACGTCTGCAGCTAAGGCTGACGTCTGCAGCTAAGGCCGACGTCTGCAGCGAAGGCCGACGTCTGCAGCGAAGGCCGACGTCTGCAGCTAAGGCTGACGTCTGCAGCGAAGGCCGACGTCTGCAGCTAAGGCCGACGTCTGCAGCTAAGGCCGACGTCTGCAGCTAAGGCCGACCTCTGCAGCGAAGGCCGACGTCTGCAGCTAAGGCCGACGTCTGCAGCTAAGGCCGACGTCTGCAGCTAAGGCCGACGTCTGCAGCGAAGGCCGACGTCTGCAGCGAAGGCCGACGTCTGCAGCTAAGGCTGACGTCTGCAGCGAAGGCTGACATCAGCAGCGAAGGCTGACATCTGCAGCTAAGACTGACGTCTGCAGCTAAGGCTGACGTCTGCAGCTAAGGCCGACGTCTGCAGCTAAGGCCGACGTCAGCAGCGAAGGCTGACGTCTGCAGCTAAGGCTGACGTCTGCAGCGAAGGCTGACGTCTGCAGCGAAGGCTGACGTCTGCAGCTAAGGCCGACGTCAGCAGCGAAGGCCGACGTCTGCAGCTAAGGCCGACGTCAGCAGCGAAGGCCGACGTCTGCAGCTAAGGCCGACGTGTGCAGCTAAGGCTGACGTCTGCAGCTAAGGCTGACGTCTGCAGCTAAGGCCGACGTCAGCAGCGAAGGCTGACGTCTGCAGCTAAAGCTGACGTCTGCAGCTAAAGCTGACGTCTGCAGCTAAGGCTGACGTCTGCAGCTAAGGCTGACGTCTGCAGCGAAGGCCGACGTCTGCAGCGAAGGCCGACGTCTGCAGCTAAGGCCGACGTCAGCAGCGAAGGCCGACGTCAGCAGCTAAGGCTGACGTCTGCAGCTAAGGCTGACGTCTGCAGCTAAGGCTGACGTCTGCAGCTAAGGCCGGCGTCAGCAGCGAAGGCTGACGTCTGCAGCTAAAGCTGACGTCTGCAGCTAAAGCTGACGTCTGCAGCTAAGGCTGACGTCTGCAGCTAAAGCTGACGTCTGCAGCTAAGGCTGACGTCTGCAGCTAAGGCTGACGTCTGCAGCTAAGGCCGACGTCTGCAGCTAAGGCCGACGTCTGCAGCGAAGGCCGACGTCTGCAGCTAAGGCTGACGTCTGCAGCTAAGGCTGACGTCTGCAGCTAAGGCCGACGTCTGCCGCTAAGGCCGACGTCTGCAGCGAAGGCCGACGTCTGCAGCTAAGGCTGACGTCTGCAACGAAGGCCGACGTCTGCAGCTAAGGCTGACGTCTGCAGCTAAGGCCGACGTCTGCAGCGAAGGCCGACGTCTTCAGCTAAGGCTGACGTCTGCAACGAAGGCTGACGTCTGCAGCTAAGGCCGACGTCTGCAGCGAAGGCCGACGTCTGCAGCTAAGGCTGACGTCTGCAACGAAGGCTGACGTCTGCAGCTAAGGCCGACGTCTGCAGCTAAGGCTGACGTCTGCAGCGAAGGCCGACGTCTGCAGCTAAGGCTGACGTCTGCAACGAAGGCCGACGTCTGCAGCTAAGGCCGACGTCTGCAGCTAAGGCTGACGTCTGCAGCGAAGGCTGAAGTCTGCAGCGAAGGCTGACATCAGCAGTGGCTCGTTACGTCAGTTGCCCCGCCGCCCTGAGGTATAAACGGCCCAGTCTCGTTCTCTCCCCCGTAGCGAGTTGGAGAAGGAATGCCGAGTATTTTCATCGATTGTCAGGTTTGCGATTAGTTATAGCATTTAGGTAGATTTTTATTAGCATAGCTGTTTGTATTGTAGATAATTGAGTAGTGTTAATTGTAGTTGTCATTAGTTGCTTTTATTGTTAGATCAGTTCGCTGAATTAAGCTTAGGACTTTTGTTAGTTTTTCTATTGTTCATTGTATATTCTTTATTGTACTTTTGAACAATAAATACTACTTCTTGTTTCAGCGTGTGTTAAATGACTGTCTCTTGCACATGGGGGAATCATTTCTTTCCAAAATGCCTTCGGGGACAAAGAGCTGCAGTGGCCGCAGGTTATTGTGGCAGAGTTTAGAATTTTGTAACTATATGACCCCACAACATATAGTTTCTTGGTCTGGGTTCATCAGAATCAGAATCATTTTTATTGCCACGTAAGTAACAGGAAGTCACAGACTGGGAAATTGCTTTGGCTCAGTGCAACAGTCAGAAAGAGATAATAAAAATATAGAATAAAAAACACTTCTAAGGAATAAATGTAAATTTAAAATAGAGTTACAGTTACTATTTACAATATCCAAGTGCACATGGTGCACACAATGTAAGGTGACAGCAGTACAGTGAAGTAAAGTGACGTATGATGGGCAGTAAAGTGACTTTATAAAGGGCGGGGGGACAGGTTAAGAAGTGTTCAAGAGTCCAACAGCAGAGGGGAAGAAACTGTTCTTGTGGCGGGAGGTTCTAGTCCTGATGGACCGCAGCCTCCTGCCTGAGGGGAGTGGTTGGAATAGTCCATGTGCAGGTGAGAGGGGAGTGGTTGGAATAGTCCATGTGCAGGTGAGAGGGGAGTGGTTGGAATAGTCCATGTGCAGGTGAGAGGGGAGTGGTTGGAATAGTCCATGTGCAGGTGAGAGGGGAGTGGTTGGAATAGTCCATGTGCAGGTGAGAGGGGTCGGCTGTGATACGACCAGCCCGGCCTCGAGCTCGGCGACGTACAGGTCCTGCAGCGATGGAAGGCTGCGGCCGATCACTTCCTCTTCATACATAAAACGTCTCTTGCCCCTGGTCTCTCACCTTGACTCTCTCCCCTGGTCTCTCACCTTGACTCTCTCCCCTGGTCTCTCACCTTGACTCTCTCCCCTGGTCTCTCACCTTGACTCTCTCTCACCTTGACTCTCTCGCCCCTGGTCTCTCCCCTGGTCTCTCACCTTGACTCTCTCCCCTGGTCTCTCACCTTGACTCTCTCCCCTGGTCTCTCACCTTGACTCTCTCCCCTGGTCTCTCACCTTGACTCTCTCTCCCCTGGTCTCTCACCTTGACTCTCTCGCCTGGTCTCTCACCTTGACTCTCTCTCCCCTGGTCTCTCACCTTGACTCTCTCTCCCCTGGTCTCTCACCTTGACTCTCTCCCCTGGTCTCTCACCTTGACTCTCTCTCCCCTGGTCTCTCACCTTGACTCTCTCCCCTGGTCTCTCACCTTGACTCTCTCTCCCCTGGTCTCTCACCTTGACTCTCTCCCCTGGTCTCTCACCTTGACTCTCTCTCCCCTGGTCTCTCACCTTGACTCTCTCGCCTGGTCTCTCACCTTGACTCTCTCGCCTGGTCTCTCACCTTGACTCTCTCGCCCAGGGGACTGAACCTCTTCCAGAGCAGCCACCATCCGTTCAGAGAGTCTCCGTAGTTGGTGAGGTCGGTCTCGTCTCTGCTGCCGACGTCGACCGCGATGACCACCTTTGCCCCCATCGAGCGCGCCACGTC